CTCCAAGGGAGATGGAGAACTGAGGGGGGGGCAACTCTATACTGACTCCTCAATGTCCCCTCACTTACCCCAGGAGGCAGAGTCCTTGAAGCTAGATTCCTCCTATGACCACCTGGAGGAGATGGAAACTTGTGAGGGTGGATGCTGCTCAGGGCCACCTAAGTCACTGACCCCGAAGGCTGGCCCCACCACCAAGGGCCAGGCAGGGGATGGACCAGAAACCGTGGAGCAGCCCTCATCACCAGGGACCCAGTGCAGTGCTGAAATGGAGCTGGAGAAGATGCGCATGGAGTTCGAACTCAAGCGTCTCCAGTGCCTGCACGAGGAGAACGAGCGGCAGCGGCAGCATGAGGAGGTGATGGAGCAGCTGCAGCAGCAGACAGCGCCCCGCCTGGTAGGTGACAGGGGAGGGCCAGACTGGCACAGACGAGGGCTGCACCCTGCGGCAGGTGGGAGCCTACCTTCTCTGCTTTGCCATAGCAACCCCTTGCAGATTCTACATTTGGAATGAAAGGGAAGGGGTGTCCATACAGACCCCCTCTGGCCCTCGCTGCCTAGGGTCATTCCAGAGATGGCTGCTCACTGCCTTAGGGACAGCTAGCTCACATAGGACAGCTGTTGAGCTGAGGTCAGGGACTGTCTGAGGAGAGGCAGGGAACCGAGGGCCCTGGAACCACATCATCCACTCAACAGCCCTGGCAGCTTGAGGAGAAAGTCTTCAATACTTCCTCTAGAACTGGCTCCCCACCACTCTATTCCCCTCTGCATTCTCTTTAGATGTACTTGGGAACCAGACCACAGAGTCCTCACTATAGTCTGGCCAGCAAATTTAGGGAGAACCATCATCTCCCCCGGTATTTGTATTCACTGTATGCACACTTCCTTGAAGCATACTGAAACTTAGCCAGCTTTTCAGAAGAAATCTTCCACGCTCCCCTATCCTGTACTAAATGAGAACACCTGCTTGAGATTAAAAGGGATGTGAAGTGCTTAGCACAGTGGCTAGGCCATTATAAGCTCCCAATAGTGGAAGATGTTTTTGTTTAAGCAGTGTTGCCTGGGCTTTAGGGTCAGACAGTCCTAGGTGAAAAATTCTGGCTCCATCACATATGAGCTTCATGAAGCTAGGCAAGTTACTAATCCTCTCAGACCCTTGGTTTGCTCATCCGTAAGGTAGTACCTACCTCATAGGGTCATTGTGAGGATTAAATGAGAGAATGCCTGTAAGGCACTTTGCAATGAGCCCAGCGCATTAGGTAAGCACTCAATAAATGTTAGCTATTACCATTTTTATGTACTCATGCAATTCACTTCTTGACCCAAATGCAGCAACTTACATTCATCACTCTTCAATTTTATTGGGATGTAATGTATTAGCTATGCTTCCCAGCTCTGAGTCATCTTCAATTCTGAGAAGCTTGCCTTCTGTCTTTATCCAAGTCATCTCTGTAATGGTTGAGGAGGATATGACCCGAAGTAAATACCACTGAAAGATTTGCCTACAGGTTAGCAATGTTCCATTAATCTGTACCCTTGAGTTACATTTTATCCAGCTCACATTTCTCCACCTTGTCCAAAAAACTTTCCTGAGACACGCTGTCAAGCAGTTTCCCAGAATTAAGATATTACATTACCTATAACATTTCTCCAATTGACTGGTCAAGTTGTGTGTGTGTGTGTTTTAAGAAAGTAGGGTTGGTTTTGAATCATTTGCACTCAATGAACACATGTTTGTTGGCTTTTTTTTTTTTTAGACGTTTTTGCTATAGGGCGCATATGCTCACCAGAAAGACAGAGACAGAGAGACAGAAAGTGAGAAATCACCCCCCACAATCCCTTCTCCTCCACTCTCCTCTCAGGATCTTGGGCACACACACAACACGTGCGGGGTGAGTTTAAGCCACCAGGTCCGGGACTCAAAACGCAGTTGAATACATGGGAGTCCAGTGATGCAGCCATTACGCGCCATGTGCTGATCCCCACATGTTGGCTTTTATTACTTTTTTTTTTTTGAGAGGATTTTTTTTTTTTTTTTTTTGCTATAGAGCATGTACACTCACTGGAGAGAGAGAGACTGAAAGCAAGGAATCATGGGAGTGATGGCCAAGCCGCAATCCCTTCTCCTCCATTCTCTCTTTGAGATTTTGGGCATGCACACACGTGCTTGGCATGAGTTTTAAGCCACTGGGTCTGGGACTCGAACCACGGTTGACTAAGTGAGAATCTAGCTATGTAACCATTATGCAATCTGCTGGTCCCCATATGTTGGCTTCTTAGTAATTATCTTTTTTTTCTTGTTCACAAAATACTTGCCTAGTTATATACTAAATAATTGACCCAAGTTAAGCTTATGAATTGGGATTTTCAGAATTTGTCTCCCCACTTCCCTTTTGAAAATCTAGGAAATATTTCTACGTCTAAGATTCTGGCACATTTCCTGATACTTTTGAATTCTCGTAAGTTGCATTTTTCCAAACTTGTAATTTTCCTTCAAAATCTTGGGATAAAGTTTGCCACGAGTTGGAGCCTGAAGCTGTTTAAATCAGATATGGTGGCTTACTATGCCTTTGGCCTATGTCTTTTCCTAATCATATTCATTTTCCCTTTTAAAATTTGAAAATATTTCTCCTTGCTGGATGAGATGGAAACCCTTGATTACTGTCCTATCGGTTCTGTTTTCTGCTCAAAAAACAGATCATTGAAAGTCTTTTTAAAAAGCCTAAAGGGGGGGCCAGCAGTTAGCGTAATGGCTATGTCGCTGGACTCCCATGTAGTCAACCACGGTTTGCGTCCCGGACCCGGTGGCTTAAAACCCACGCCAGGCGTGTGTGCATGCGTGTCCAAGATCCCGAGAGGAGAATGGAGGAGAAGGGGTTGCGGCATGGCCATCCCCCCTGGGGGGGGGTGATTTCTTGCTTTCTGTCTCTCTGTCTCTCTCTGTCTGTCTGGCGAGCGCACACGCCCTATAGCGAAAACCTCTCCAAAAAAAAAAAGTCTAAAGGGTTTCACAAATGCATGTTTTATCATTTTAGACTAAAAAAACACAATTCTGACTTCAGAAAAGTGGCAAAATCCAAGAGTCCAGGGAGTTTCCAGGTTCTCTAAATCTGTAGTCATGTAGGTCACTCCAGTCCTCCACTTCCCACAGAATGTGGCATTTCTTCCTCTTGTCTTTAGCGCTCCTTGCTATTTTAGTGGTAGTGTCACTGGTGTCATTTTCCTGCTCCCCTCAGTTTTATTTAGTTGCACACGCATTTTATGTAGCTGTTTCATCATGTTGTGTCTGTATTTGGTAATACTCGGCTTACAATGGGGATATATCCCAATAAATCCATCATATAGCTGAAAAATTGCTAAGTCCAATGACAGTTAATTTAGGGACTATCTGTAGTTTTAAAAGAGTTTTACTTGTTACACATTTACTAAAAAATAGGGTGTTGACTAGACTAAGTTTCCCCTTTTGTTTTGGGGAAGATATGTCCAGATGGGTGGATGGATCTCATTGTTTTGAAAATACCTGAATGTTTCTAGTTAGTTTATGGCATCTCAGTCCCTACTGTTGGGGCGGGGTGGGGGGTCTGTATTTACAAAAATGAGGCATTATTTTTAAAAATATGTTAAGCAATAAATTACGGGTGATGTCCTTTTTACTATAAATCAGAATAGTTACCTCAACTTTTGCCTTTTTTCTATGTTGACACCTTTTATAGTTACAGTGGGGTCTGGTGGATCCTAATTATATAGATTCCAGAAGAGAATCAGACAGCTCAAACTGCTTTCCCTGAAGCCTCATACCCTGAGGGTTTAGAGACCTCCTGTTGCCCATCTCCCAGCACCTGCCCCCAAGGAAGACCAAGCCCTGGGCTCAAAGACCACTGACTGGTTCATGCAACTTGTGCCAGAACCCAGAGAATCAGAAACAGTCCTCTGTACCCAATGGACACCTCTCATTGTGCCACTGTCCAGAAACCCAGGCTGAGTGTCAGCATACACTGGCCAGTGAGCGCTCCCGGGCCAGTGTCCAGATCTGAGGATCTTGGAGTTGGAGAAGGTTGCCCACATGTGAAACTCACATGGACAGTATGAAGATAAAAGAAGGGAAGGTGTTGGTCTGCTGCCCAGTCCAAAGGGATCAGACTGGGTTCAAGAAATAAAAAAAATGGGAACCAGCAGTTGGTGTAATGGCTATGTCGCTGGACTCCCATGTAGTCAACCGCGGTTCGCGTCCCGGACCCGGTGGCTTAAAACTCACGCCGGCGCGTGTGTGTGCGTGTCCAAGATACCGAGAGGAGAATGGAGGAGAAGGGATTGCGGTGTGACCATCCTCCCTGGGGGGTGATTTCTCGCTTTCTGTCTCTCAGTCTCTCTCTGTCTGTCTGGCGAGCGCACGCTCCCTATAGCGAAAAGAAACTCTCAAAAAAAAAAAAAAGAAATTTAAAAAATGAATTCTCTCTAAGTTAGTACCAGTTGCCTCACTAGAAAATTTGCATTTATCATCTCCCTCTTCTCATGGTTTTGTGAAGTGGGTGCTATTATCCTTTCTTTAGGTGAGGACGCTAGCCTGTCCAAGGTCATATTCAGGAAGGGACAGAGCAGGACTGAACAGAGCTCTATCTGGTGTCAAGTCCTGGTGTCGCCAGCTCCACTGTCTTCTTCCCCCACAGTTCTCAGGAGGCTTCCAGGACCTCCTGCTCCCCCAGAACCAGTTTGTCATGTTCCTGTACTGCTTCATCTTCATACACATAATCTATGTCACCAAGGAGATGATCTTCTTTCTCTTCTCCAAGCACTACCTGTTCTGCATCGCGGCCATTTTGCTCTGTTTGATTAAAACTTTATGGTCATACTTCCAAGTGCCTTTGCTCTCTCCATTACTGGAACCCTCCCCATGTCTAGTGTTACTAGTATATGATCCAAGTTAGCCCCCAGTCTCCATCCATCAGAACTATGCACCTAGGAAAGACTGTCAGTTATTCACACCTGAGTATAAAAAACAATGTTCCAGGGACCGGCAGTTAGCATAATGGCTATGTCACTGGACTCCCATGTAATCGACCACGGTTCGAGTCCCGGACCCGGTAGCTTAACCTCACACCAGGCGTGTGTGCGTGCGTGCCCAAGATCCCGAGAGGAGAATGGAGGAGAAGGGATTGTGGCGTGGCCATCCCCCCTGGGGGGTGATTTCTCGCTTTCTGTCTCTCTGTCTCTCTCTGTCTATAGAGCGCACACGCCCTATAGCAAAAAAACTCTCCAAAGCAAACAAACAAAAAAAATGTTCCGGCACCTTGTACTGAGCCTGAGTTCTCACTGTGGATAATGATGCTTTATCCCCTGAAAGAAGGATTTCAGAAGTTAACAGGATATGGAAGTATCTGCGGGGAGGCGGGTAGGGTTTTAAAAGCCTTTCCAGAATGTTAGCATTACACCATGACCAAGCTGGATTGGGTTCTACCAATTTATTTACATTCATAGGTCTTCTCTGAGGTGAGCAAAGCCTGTGGTAGGCTTGGGGATAGTGCCCCCATGAACATATCCGTGTCTCCATCCCCACCCCCATAATCATGAATGTATTACCCTATGTGACAAAAGAGACTTTGAGAAGTGAGTAAATTTAGGACCTTGACATGGAGAGAGTATTCTGGATGGTGCAGCTGGGCCCAATGCAATCACCAGCATCTTTGTAAGAGGGAAGCAGGAGGGTGGGAGTCAAGAGAAGTGACCATGGACACAGAAGTTAGAGAGATGGGGAGGGCCACAAATTAAAGAATGTGAAGAGCTTCAAGAAGCTAGAAAAGACACAAACTAGAGCCTCCAGAAGGAACACAGCCATGTCAACACGTTTTGGATTTCTCCAGAACTGTAAGAGAATAAATCTGCATTAAGCCACTGAGTTTGTGGCTTCCCAGTCACACAGGGAAACTGATACAGGAGCCAAGACTCCTGGGCTCTTCCCAGGTCTGAGACCATGTCAGGATATCAATGAAAAGGTTCTGTTTAGCACTGGCTGAGCAGAACTGTACAGAGCCAGTCAGCCAGGCTTGGGACTGCCTTTAGAGAATATTCAATTCAAACTGAGATGCTGAAGCTTCAGGGAATCCAGGACATGCCTGTCAGGGCCGGGGGGTAGGGGGAACAGTAAACCAGAAGCAGTCATCGACGCTACCGAGTTCGAAAACTGGGAGGAGAAACAAAACCAGGCACATACAACCCAACACGCATACACACACACCATGCCCACCTACCAGGCTAAGTACATAGACTCAAAAAAATTCAGAAAAGCTAGAACCAGCAGGTGCTATGGTGGTTAAGTTTCTGGATTCCCACGTGGCCAACCATGGTTAGAGACACGGATCTGGGGGCTTGAAAATCATGCCGGGCATGTGTGCATGCATGCCAAGGATCCCGAGAGGAGAATGGAGGAGAAAAAATTGTGATCCACCCCTTGGAGGTGGGTGATTTCTTACTTTCCTTCTCTGTCTCTCTCTGGTGAGCATATGTACCCTATGGTAAAAACCTAAAAAAGAAAAAAAAAAAAAGGCAGAAAAGCTAACCCAGAAACAAATACACTGTCTTGTGCATGCACACACATGCAGATACAAAGCAAACAGTTGTCCACAATGGAAATGTTTACAACCCTCCCCCACCCCCCAAATAGACATGCAGCAACTACAGAAAGGAACTGAACACTAGGGGGCTCACAAGGAAGCACAAAATGAAGCAGCCCCGCATGTGTATATCAAAGAAAACAAGTTCTGTTTCCTTACTTGCCAGCTCCCCAGCCCTTCTCCAACATACACCCCCTTCCAGATTGTCAGCTGCTCCGACCCCCACAGTCTAGCCAGTATGGTTGGCTGGCGCTGGCATGGGAGAGTCTACTCCAGTGCTAATGAGGCTGGACACAGCTGTGCAATCAATCAAGTCTTTATTGACCCCTCCTCTTCCCTGGCATTGGGCTCTGCCTTAAGAAGGACAGAAGAATAAGTTTCTGTCTCATTGGGCTCTCGGAATGATGCTCAGTGAGACCACATGAAAAAGCAGACTGCCTTGGGACTTCAATGTCAGTACACATTATCATGCCATTTTAGTCCATGGTAACTTCTCATTTTCCACCCAATTCAATACATCTGCTCCATTTATAACTGTATGTGAAAAGTATTGCTTGGTAGTAATAAAACTGTCATTTCTCATTAAACTTCCAGTGGTGGGACTTTTTGTATGGGTCATGTCTTGCAATCATCTTATTTGATATGGGTTTCTGGTGTGTGATTGAGGTGAGGAGAAAGAAGATCAGGTTAATAAAAAGCTTAATTCCCACACATTTACCTTGTTATAACTGCTTTAGGAGTTTGCAAAATATACTGAGTCCTACAAAGCCATTAGTTCACCCCCTTATTACCTGGTAAAACAGGACCTAAATACATTTTTTTTAAAATCTTTGACAAAAGACTTAGTTAACTCTCTAGAGCAGTTAACATCTCATCTCACCCCTTAGCCACAGGCATGAAATCTCCCTTCTACTCCTTCTATTGTGCTTGAAGACTGAAGCCAGTAGCCTAAGACCACTCCTAGGAAAATGAGAATTCCCCAAACTTAACACAATTCTCTGACTTCAAATACAAAACAGAAAATCGGAAGGTAAAGAGATGCCAAGGGTAGGAAAAAGGCACAGCTAAGCTGTCGCCAGTGGGCAACAATTCAACAGACAAGCATTTCTTGAGCACCTCCAATGTGCTAGGCATCCCTTTAAATACTTACAAAACCTAGTTTCACCAAAACCCTGGGAGGCAGAAATGTTTATTAACCCTGTTTCACAGATGAGGACACTGAGGGTCAGGGAGGTTAAATAACCTACACAAGATCAAAGGGGCCAGCAGTTAGTGTAATGGCTGTGTTGCTGGACTCCCATGTAGTCGATTGCGGTTCGAGTCCCGGACCTGGTGGCTTAAAACTCACGCCGGGCGTGTGTGCGTGTGTGCCCAAGATCCCGAGAGGAGAATGGAGGAGAAGGGATTGCAGTGTGGCCATTCTCCCTGGGGGGTGATTTCTCGCTTTCTGTCTCTCTGGCACGTGAGCGCACACACCCTATGGCAAAAACCTCTCCAAAAACAAATAATAATAATAACCTACACAAGATCATCCCAGATCTCAAACCTAACTCCAAAACACAAGCACTGTCCATGTTCCCAAGATCCTACCTAGAGAGAGACACTCACAACCTTGCTGCAGAAATGGAGACCAGCAGTTAGCATAATAGCTATGTCGCTGAACTCCTATGTAGTCATCCGTGGTTCGAGTCCTGGACCTGGTGGCTTAAACTCATGCCAGGCAAGTGTGCGTGCATGCCCAAGATCCCAAGAGGAGAATAGAGAAGGGACTGTGGCATGGCCATCCCCCCTGGGGGGTGATTTCTCACTTTCTATCTCTCTGTCTCTTGTTTTGATGGAGAAAAACACCCCCATAAAAAAAAAAAAAAAAAAAAAAAAAAAAAAACTCTCAAAAAAGAAAAAAAAAATGAATTTACCACACACAAAAAATGTAAAATAATAATAATAATAAGCTATCAACATATAAACCTCAGTTATGGAGAAGATCAAAAGAGGAGAGCTCAGGACCAGCAGTTAGCGTAATGACTATGTCTCTGAACTCCCATGTAGTTGACCACGGTTCGAGTCCCAGACCTGGTGGCTTAAACTCACACTGGGCGCATGTGCATGTGTGCCCAAGATCCCGAGGGGAGAATGGAAGAGAAGGGATTGTGACCATTCCCCCTGGGGAGTGATTTCTCGCTTTCTATCTCTCTGTCTCTCTCTGTCTTTCTGGTGAGCACACACACCCTACAGTAAAAACCTCTCAAAAATAAATAAATAAATAAATAAATAAAATAAAATAAAATAAAAAAGAGCTATCTGGAGCCCAGGGCTTCTAGGAAGAGCAACCCACAGGGTCAGTAAGCCTGAAGTAGGTGGAGATAAGGAGGGATGATGCAGATACACTGCAGTGTGGTTAGGACTTTGTAACCTTTGTTTGGGAAGAGAAATGTCATTTTTGTTCCAGTAAATGATCTAAAGGATAACATACTCGCAAAATCTGGGGACAAGTTTTACAGAATCTTGAATGTTGGTCTGAGGAATATGAATTTATTTCCTTCGGAAGAGGAATCACTATAGAGTGTAGAGTAGGATTGTGATTGATAAATAAATAAATAAAGCCAGCCTCCTTTCCCCTCTATTTCTATGGACCATATAATTGCTTTAACTTTCCCTTCCCATTCTTAGTCCCAGAAACATTCTTGTTTTTACGAGACTTATTTATTTCCATTTTTAAATTATTTTTTAACTTGACCAAAGAGAGAGAGAAAGGGAGAGCGCAAGCTACCAGGTCTGGGACTTGAACCATGGTCAGCCATGTGGGAATCCAGTGCCTTTAACCACCACACCACCTACTGCCCCAATCAGAAACATTCTTTCTGAAGTCCAGAGTTTGAGAATTACTTTCAGCTGTGAAACAGCCACAGTGTCTTCACCAAATAACCATATAGTTTTATGTTTCTGACATACCGGAAGGTCCTAGGTGGTCAGTCCACAGCTGATGAATCTGCTCTAGGAAGTCAGAGGACCCAGGCTCCTGGTTTCTCCACTATTCTTAACACAGCTTTTGTCTTCATCTATGACTTTCAGGCTCATGTTCTCAACATCCCTGCCACAGCTCTAGACCCCACATTCACAAGCCCAGGTTGAACTAGGGGTAAAAAAGAACAGGGGCTGCCTTTGAAAGCTTTTCAATAAGCCCCACCCAAAGGCTTCTGTTTACATCTGGTGGCTATTCCCAGAGAGAGTATCTGAGGCGGTAAGAGTTTTCCTGGGCATATTACAGTCTTGAGAAACATTGGGATTCTGATAATATGGGGTTGGGGGAAAGATTGAATAAGCACATAACTGAGTCCTGACTTTCTAAGGCCAAGCCCCCCTCCCTTCCTAAGTTGCTGAGTTCCAAGAGCTTTAGTGCGGGTTGAGGCAATCAGGTAACCCTGCTGTAGCCAGTCTGGCCTTGGCCCACTGTGGCACTATGCCTTCAGGAAGAGTATCACACAGCACATACGTCAGGAAAGTCATGGTTTTTCCTGGACACATGCCTGGAGCAACTCTGCTGTCATATTGCCGACCTCTGCCTGAGGCCTCATGACCTTACACATCTGAGGCAACTTCCTTGCCCAGAGACAGAAGGGCACACCTCTCTGACCTGGATGCCCTCAGCAAAGCTGGGAGAGGAGGCAATTTAAATTCAAGAACCCCTCCCCCACTCCTGATCTCAGATCCCACAGAACAGAGGAGGAGGATCTGATCAGTCAAGGTCGATCTGATCTGATCTGATCTGATCAGCCCACTGACACTGAGAAGCTAAGGACGACGTGAAACAGGTCATACTCATCCACTCAGCTTGATCCCAAATAATGAAGCACTAATACTTAAGTTACAAGCAAATTTAGGAAGAAAAAAATGGGAGAGCCTTTTCTGCTCCGCAATGGAATACCATGGGTTACAAGTTCAAGGACAGGACAATTCAGCAGGTGACTACAAGCAAATTAGTTAAGCTTTCTAGGCTTCATTTGGGTGACCTGTAATTACTTAGACTCTAACTCAATGCAAAACAAAAACACAAAGCCTAGGCTTGATTTCAGAAATTTTAATTTACTTGATCTGAGATGGGCAGAGGAGACTTGCTAGTTTTTAGACTGCCCCACCTGTTCCTAATGTGCAGCTAGTGTGGAGGTGCAGGCTGAATGCCTGCTCTTCCACATGTGGTCTGTGTAGCAGCAGAATTAGCAACCCTGGGAAGCCTCTTAGAAATGCTGCCTCCCCGGCCCCACCCCAGACTCATGGAGTCAGGGACATTTGACAATATCCGTGGGTGGTTCGTGCACACCTTAGAGTCTGGGAAGCCTGCTCTGAGTAATGGGACTCAGTTTAACCATACTCTGTTGTGAGAACACTGCTCTTGGCCTGGAGGGTCTTCCAGTAGGTTCTGAAGGGACAAGTTAGATAAGGAGAGAGGGAGGTTGAGTGTGTGGCTTTTGGAAGTACAGTGGGAGTCGCCACCCACATCCTGCTCAGGCCAAGGGTGCGACATCAGGAAGCTGGGGCAGCACACAGCCCCTTCTCCACTGTGTTTTTATCAGTCCTTGCTCTGGGCTTCTGAGGAACCAAATGATTGCACTAGCATTCCAGGTGCACCAGAAAGTTCCAGAACCCTTTCCAGGCCTCTGTCCCTTTTTTGATCTGGCTCCTATGTGTATCTTTGGGGGAAATCTTGCTAATACACATTCATTCATTATTTAAAGGTTGCCACTGGTCCTTCAGGAAGGTTAAGCATGATTAAAAGATGGGATTTTTCCACCGGGCATAGCAGTAAAGCTAGGACTCCCACATTTTTAAGCTGTTTTGGCCAAGCCTTGTTGCATAATTTAAAATCTGTGACTTATTTAGATTTAATTAGCCAAAGGAGCAGCAGCTGCAGGTTCATTAGTCAGTATTTATTAAGCGCCCTCAGAGGGCTTTGTGGGCTCTTAGTAGCAAAGTGGAAGCTGGGTTTCAGACTTGCAAATTTCTCTCACTCCAGTAGGAGAGGATCACAGATGGTGTCAGGAGGTCTGCTGAGAGAGCAGAAGGGTGGCATCAAAAGGCATGGGCTCACTGGGCAAGTCTCCCCAAAGGCGAGTCTGAGACATCATCCCTACAGGAGCTTAGTAGTGACAATTAGTGTGCTAATGAAGTGGAAGCCCACAGAAACCCTGGAGCTACAAAGATGAGTGGTATTGGCAAGAGATGAGCAGAGAAGGAAGTGATTGCCCACCTGAATTTCAAGAGGTGGCGAGGATAGGGTCCAGGATTCATGGGGCCCAGTGCAAAACAACAAGGCAGGATTCCTTGTTCGAAATCTGTGAAGAATTCTAAGACAGTGACAGCAGGGCATTATGGCAAGTGTCAGGTGCCCCTGAGCACCAGCCTTGTGCCACTGCAATGGTGGCATAGCCATGAAGCCTGCCCTAGAGGTGGACAGAGGAGGTCCCAGGATAAGGGCTTTTGTGGTCTCTCAAATCCCAGCCTGAGATTCTCTGTCCCAGCCCTCCACTCCATCAGCCCTATGGAGGGAGCAGGCTTGGCACATTTGTGGTGAGTGGGGGGACATTAGAGCAGGCCTAGAGGTGGAGGAACCTGAGTTGGTGGCCTGGAGTAGTGAGGCCAGTGGCCACCTCACACACCTACCAGGTCTGAGAGCAGAGCTCTGCTGAGCAGGAGGTACTTTTAATGAGCAGGTCCTGCTCCAGCCTTCCAGCTGCAAATCCCAAGGCTAACAGAAGCTGGCCTCAAGTTCTCTAACTTGGTGGCATTTCCTCTTCCCCCTGGTTTCCACCCCAGTCCCATTCAGCCGTTCATTTTGCTCTGAGCTAAAAAGTCCAAAAATAAGAGAAGAAAGCTATACTTTTCACCCCCTTGAGCCTCTTGTATCAAATGACACAGTCACTTTGACTTAAACTTTTCATCAAAAGCGCCTTTGTAAGGTCCCAGGGCAGAAAATAGGCCTTGGAAGACAGCCACCAGGAAGCTGTGCTGAAAGTGCTGAGCAAGGGGACACTTGGTGGAGGAGGTAGAAGTGGGGGTGGGGTTTCAGGAGTTTCTCTCCACCCCAGTGAAGGCTAGTGCCTAGTGCTTGCTCCTATGGGCAGCTCTTATGGGACATCAGCTCTGGCTTGGGCCCTAGAGACGTCAGAGCAGTGAACCACCCTGTCACTGGAGGCCAATACTGAGTTTGCAGAAGCTCAATCAGTGCCTAAGAGAAAATGACCAAATGAAAGAATGCAACAGGCAGTTTGAGAAAGGCTCTGTGAGCTCAAGTACTCTGTGAAGGCTTCTTGAAAAGGCGAAAAAGAGGTTCAGCCAGGTAGCATAGTGGACTGGATCCCACATGGCTGACTGAGTGCTTTGAGTCCCAGAACCTGCACTTTGAAAAACAGGGGTGTGTGCATATGTGTATGCCTGCCCAAAATTCCTAGAGGAGACAGAAATAAAGGACAAGGGATGGCAGTGTGGCCATCCCTCTTGGGGGAGAGGTGCTTTCTCACTTTTTCTGTCAAGGTCATGCATCCAAGAGCAAATCAAAAAAAGGATGTGGAAAGGGAGAGGACACTTACCTCAAGCTGACGCCTGTGGTGTATTGTGCCCCCATCCAGTGCACTTTCTGTCACCTAGTCCATTGCATGACCCCTCTGACCTTCCCTGCTGTTAGTCTGCTCAGGCTGCTGTAACGAAAGCACATGTTCTTTTCTCTGTGTCCAAACTTCTTATGAAAACACCGGTCAGATGGATTAAGTCCTCATTTTAAACTTAGTCACTTCTTTAAAGACCATCTCTCCAAATAAGGTCACATTCTGAAGTACTGGAGGCTAGGACTTCAACATGCGAATTTGGGGGAAGACAATCAGCCCATAACACCAACTTTGCAGGTGAGAAAACAGACCAGGGTTCAGGAGATGCCTGAGCCTGCTCAGACAGAAGGTGACAGAGACCAGCTGTGGCAAGGTACTGAAAATGGATTTGAAGACAACAAATATGCTACTTGTCTCTGGGTTCGTGGCTGAAGATTCAGAGCTGCTTTGATAACATGTATGTGAAGAGAACTGCTACTGGGTTTCAGTAGTATCGTGTGGTCCCACTATACTTTGTCTGTATGGGTAACACCTTAGGGTAGCAGCTTCAAAGTTTTCTGCTTAGAGACCTACCCTGTGATTCAACCATTCTCTCATTTCCCTTCACTGCAGGCTAGGGAGGATAATGCCTTTGAGATGGGGCAGAGTATAAGCCTTTGTTCCCTGGCCCACCGATTCCCCACAGCTGCCATTTTCTTAAGTGGCAAGAAGTCCATCTTCAAAGTCCTAGACTCAACCCTGCATCCTCCACTAGGCCCCCCAATCAGGAGAATAAGTATAGGAGAATTCTATAACTGGGAGACCACGGGTCATCCCTCTGGAATCGGCCATGCCTGGCTCTCTGAAGTCTAGGATCTCATGGCCATTCTGAGACAGGAGGAGGTACAGGAAATAACAGGTGGCTGACTAAGACATCTTCCAGTTCATCCTTGCATTCTTTCTCCTCTGGGCAATGCTTTGCATCCTCTGCACACAGAGCGGACCTGAATGAGTTCTAAGAAAATGAAGAGATTTGATGGAAGACTCTAGAAGCATAGTGGATAGTAAATCTCCCTGCTCTCAGGTATCAGGCTGACTTCAAAGGAACTCCAGGTGACTTCATGAAGCAAACCACACACTCAAGGGAAAATCCTGATTTTTAAAACTCATCAGTTAGGGTGAGAGTTAGAAACGCATTTGCCAGGGTGGGGCCAGGTAGGCCCAGGTGAGTTAAGTAAAAGAGAAGCTGGCTGGGGTCAACAGGGGGCATGGTGGGTAACATGCTGTGCTGGACTCGCACATGGCCAACTACAGTTCGAGTCCTGGACCCAGCAGCTTGAAAATCACACTGAATATGTGTTCATATGTGCACAAAATCACAAGAGGAGACTGGAGGAAAAGGGATTGTGGCATGACTATCCCACCTGGGGAGAGATTTCTCACTTTCCTGCTCACTGTCTCTGTCTCTCCAGTGAGCACATGTGCCCTATGGCAAAAAGAAAAAAAGTAGCTGACTAAATGACAGGAAATGAAGAGCCAGTAAAGCAAGCAGCC